GTGGGCTGACATGCCTAAGGCAAAGCCAAAGGAAGCTGCCAAGCCCGCGAAGCCGGCGGCGACGTGACTGCAAGGAAGGTACCGGAGCGAGCGCCAGGTAGACGAAAGCCGATTGGGAGCGAGCGTTGGTAGCTGGGAGAAATGCATGAGCCGTCTACGCGAAGTGAACGTGGGTCAAACATAGGTGCCCCAAATGGATCTCTGGTGTCCGAGGCTGTTGCTCTGCAGCTTTTGCACGCCAGAGTAATTTACACTTGGCATCACAAGGCTCTGGCTAAAGCGTTGGAATGAGAGCACTATGATGTATTCATGTAATCAGATTTGCCGCTCTGACACTTTTAGGATGCAAAGTTTGGTGGCACGAAGCCCAGGCCAAGGCGAAGGCCAAGGCAAAGGCCAAGTCGGGGAAGGCGCCTTGGACTGATGGCTGCGGATGCTCATCTCATGATAGCTTGCTCATCAATGCAGTATGTTCCATATCGAGACACGGAACTAGTGCAAGCTGCGGAGGATCTCTCCCTCTCTCACTCTCTGATTTCTCTCTCTCTTTCTCTCTTTCTCTCTTTCTCTCTTTCTCTCTTTCTCTCTTTCTCTCTTTCTCTCTTTCTCTCTTTCTCTCTTTCTCTCTCTCTCTCTCTCTGTCTCTTTCTCTCTCTGAAGACAGCTGGAAGTCATACGGACAAGCTGCGATTGGGGAACTGCGGGACAGTTGCTGAACTTGCTGCCAGAGTTGGGCTTGCAGGGTGTGGGCACCAGGCTGTGTACTGTAACAGCCCCCAAGCTAGTGGCTTGTGCGGAACTTGCCTTAGTTAGCTTGGACTACCCATGGGGCAAAGGACTGAGTTTGGCCATGTGGATTCTTTGCTCTTGTTGATTGTTTCCTTTGGCTGTCACCAAGTACTCTGACGCCACAGCACCGGGCTGGGCATGACACTGGCGATGCCATTGGATTTTTCTCATCCTAGGCCGAGGCAAAGGCACATGTGAAGTCGGCCCTGCGTCTTGGCCAGCAGTGACGTCACACGTTTTGTTGGACACATAATTTTTGTTTGATATTTTCGACCTCTGCTTGTGTGGGGAACCCATTGAAGACTTCGCCCACGTACCCACCGGGAGTGGCCCCTGTATGGTTTTCCCTCCGTTAGATCCACTGTTGAGCCCCAGTGGCTACATAGCTAGCTTCTCCCGGTCGGCCGCGTGCAATGCAGCACGCCGAGATGGATACGTGAAAGAGTGAAATAGTGATGCTTTTGACTGGAGCTGGAAACTAGAAGAAAGACATTTCTGCTTGTCGACCACATGATTTCACGCGAGGCATGCTATGGCGAGGTACGGCTTGGCATCATATCCAAGCAGAGGGTGTGCTTGTTTGCTGTGATGTATTTGCATTAACCACAGATACACGTGGTGAAGTTACATTTCTTGTTCTCAAGCACGGATGCATTTGCCATTCCTTGCAGGCTGAACACACACACACACAAACACATGTTGCAATTGAGCCTTTTTGACAGTATCGATTTGGCCCCGTTTGTGGGTAGTTCTCGTGCACTGCCAACACAATATCACACAATCGAACCAGGGAAAAGCATCAGACATCCTTAAGACAAAAAGGTGACAACTTCCTGAGGCCAGACTCCCTCAAGTGACCAGTTTATTTATGACCTATGCTACAAGGACCGATGAGAGCCCGGAGAAGAGCGCGCCTATGGCAGCACATGGGAGGAGCATTCGTCAAACAGCACTCGGGCCAGAGGCCGCGAAACACGGATTTGCGACGGATTCGCGAAACTGTCCATGTGAACCTGTTGGCCAATTGTTTAAGATGCGGATGATTCTGATGGACGACTCAGACTTGTGGGATTCAGCAGTGTTAATTGGGCATGTTGGGGCTTGCCAGAATCAACTCGTTAAAGAGCGAGCCACTCTTGAGGCAGACATGGGAAACCCTGCGCATAGCGGACTGTCGAGCGTGTTGTAAACATGGCACGGCAGGGCAAGTGTGAAGAAAGGATGCCAACAATTAGGCTAAACACGAACTAGACCAGTGAGGACAAATCAATGAGCATGGTGGATTTGACTATCCATGCTTGCCTCTGGGTGCCTCGTATCTGTTTTTTTGGTGCTTGGCTGGCTGGTAGAATTCTTGCCTGACTTCCCGCGCACTAAGACCGGCTGGTCGAAGCTCTTGGATACATTTGCGACGGTGGACAAGACGCTCAGAATAGAAAGCGTTGATGGATATGGTACCCTCAAGAAAAGATACACCCAGCACATTGTCGCTCAACGTGTTCTGCTCCTGGCGGTTAAAAGCTTGGCCAACCGCCTCTTGTTTTTGTTTTTGTTTGAATGGTTTGGTTTGTCCTGGTGGGACACAAGCTGGAAAGCCCCAAACTGCACGGATCATCTCTGGGCAAATCTTGGTAGGGCATTGCAAAGACATGCCAGCATAGATAAAGCCGCTGTGATTTATTATGGTGGCTGCTAGAGGGATCTGGATTACTTTCGGAGCGCCAACCTCAACTGGCCACGGCTCAGTCTTAGTTTGCCGAGGGACGGCAACGGGCGGATAAGCAAGGACTGTACGGGCAGAGAGAGAGAGAGAGAGAGAGAGAGAGAGAGAGAGAGAGCGAGAGAGTTGCTTCCTTTGGACTTCGAACGGCTCAGCTTGGGCTCTTCGGTTTGAGTGGGCAACGCTTTTGAGCACTGGTTCAATTGGTTTGGGCTGTTTTTGTTTGTGTTTGTGCGTGTGTGTGGCACTGGGCTGAATGCAGTTTCTGCTGCCACACTTCTGTTTCCACTTGCATTCCTGCGGAAGGTTGTTGCTATAGAAACAGCATCGATTCTGTCTTATACAAGTAAAAGCTCCCGCAGTTTTGCCTTCTGAGCGCCGGCGCCGCAGCCGAATGCAACTTGCGTGAGGATGAACTGATGACAGCAGTCAAGGGCCACGGAGTGAAGGAGTCCGAGATTCGGGAGGCAGACTGGGCGTCGAAACTGGGGACCCCTCGTTTGGGTATGGGCCAAAGTTAAACCACCAGGGGACCGCAGGAATTGGTCGTTGGTTCCATCAGGGTTCCATTTGGGTACCTACTTTTGACCCACAACCGTTTATTGTCAAGAGGCAAGGGACATGCAAGCAACAACGTGGAAAGTCCAGCTCGAAGTCCATGCAGAAGGCGGCAGATTCTTCCGAATTCGGAGCTTGAAGTGTTTGACTCAGGGAAGGGGGGACATAGCTCGAGGGTGCGCCGCCACGTGCCAGTCCACGGTGCGCGTGAGGCTATGAAGAGTATCGACTTGGATGATGACGGGGAAATTAATTATGCTGAGTTTGTGAAGCTGCTCAGGTGACAGGAACACAGCACCTGAAGGTTTGGAACAACGCTGTCAAGAGCAGTTTAGAGTCCAACATGTTTGCTTTCATGTTGAGTCCCTTTCGCAGCCCTTTGCAGCAATATGTGGTGTAGATGGAGTGACTATCGTTGGACTCTGCAAGTTCATCCAGTGCGACGTGTGCTCGTTCCATGACTGTTGCCTCATATTTTTTCAATGCACCGGCTTGTCTTACCGCAAGCTAGGGCCGTTTCTGTGACCGGCAACATCCAACCCGGGTGCACGGCCTTTAAGCCCAGTCGCCTGAGGCTCTGCCACGCCGAGGGGACGAAAGCAACATGCGGGGAGCAAAAGGCAGCTGCGGTCGTGTCTCAGGGAGTCTCCGTGATCGCATGCGGCAGCAGTTAAAAAGGGGACGGTGAGGGATGACCTGAGCGAGTCCCTGCAAAGTTTGAAGGCGAGTGTGAATTCGCCACCAGCTCATCTCTTGCTCGAAGGAGCTTTACTTCGGATTGCGTTCTGGTCAAAACGGCTTCCATCTTGGTAGATCTTTTTCGGTGGACCAATAGTGGACCTCTCCCTGAGCATCATGAAACGGGAATTCAGCAGGGGTAGGTTGGGTTGAGTGCAATTGCTCACAGGGGTCATCAATTCAGGCTCAATCCAGCGCTCCAGTCGCAAGAAGCCAATCGGCTTGCTGTCAGATTTGTCGCAGGGTTTGGAAGATGAAGCAGTGATGCCGGCGGCGGTTTTGTGGCCAGATCCGTGGTAAGAGCCTGCAATAATCATGGAAGCGAGCATGTCGCCACCTTGTCTGGGACCAACTATGATGAACTTGGCCGTTGTGTCTTCACCGCGTCTGTTATGGAACGAGAGGAGCGGAATCCTTGTCAGTGACTGGATGCCCAAGGTCATACCTGGATATGGATGACATGAAGCACTTCCATGGCACCTACAAGAAGGCTGGCTTGCTCAAGTGGCACCATAATTCAGCACTGCGGATAAAGCAAATGAGGGCGTTCCACTTTGATGAGAACAGAACTTGTGCAGGGGAGGTTATGCTTTGACTGCTCACAGCAGCGCGCCAGGTCAAGAGGGGAATAGATCAACTGACATTTGCAATCAATCGGAGTGGCTTGCTGCCATTGGCCATTGGCATATGCAAACGAAACCATCCCCGCTTCCACAAAAAAACGAAAGTTGACCTTGGCACAGTTGATCAGGTCTGCGACGAGTACAACCCAGAGTGGTATCCTCGCTTCAAGGCACGGGCGGCGCGGCATGGCAAATGTGGCCATGCGGCCCTTCAAGCGGTGTGCGCGTGTGTGTGGGGGGAAGATTTGCGATGGAAATAGATGCAACTTTATCGCTGCTTCTCTTGGGGTTGGACACTCTGATTGGCAACCAAACTTGCCTGCCCCCCGCAAAGCACGCCAGCCACAATTTGGGGTCCAGAGGTACCCAGGTTTGCTGCGGTTGTCAAACTGGAGGGTTTCTGTCAAAATAAATTTTGCGGAGGAATCTATTCAGCACTTTTGCTGAATGGCGGGGTGTGGCAGCACGCTTCAGCAAATCCAATCGACCAGCTGCAACCTTTGTAGGCTTGCAACAATCACAGTAGAGCATAGCCAATCGAGCTTTCAGCGGAGAGTCCCGGACATAGGGGATCCCTAGCAAGGCTAGCTTCATGTTTGGCAATTTCAGCACAGCCCCATTGAATGGCGCCTCACAAGTTCCAAGTCTCTCAAACCTGTCAGAAGTGGGCGGATGAGTACTTCCTCATCAAGCACCGCGGGGAGACGCGAGGCTGGGGAGTCAGTCACAAGGGGACTGAAGCTCTACCCGATTTGGAAACCACGAAGACAATTCAGATTGCATAAATATATTATATATATATATATATGTGTATGAATATATACATATATATATACGGGTTACTACTTTTCTTACAACGCTTACTTGTCTACAAAGAGGAATCAAAAAGCACATGACTAGCCCATTTAAAGGTATTGGTTGGTATTGTATGGAAACATTCAACCGGCAACATCGCAGTCCATTCCCCTAGCTTGAGAGCCCACCCGCTTGTTTTTCTCGCAGCGCAGGGCGCTTGTAGGGTTGTTCTTTTCGAAGCTTGGTGTCCACTCATGGTTCACCTGAGGAGGCAAACACGCTCGAGCCCCAAGAGTTCACATTACATCAGTTCCGTTCGCGTGTTGCTGTGCGGCCCAAAAGCCAGACAGCAGCTCAGAGCCAGACAGCAGCTCAAAGCCAGACAGCAGCTCAAAGTCAGACAGTAGCTCAAAGTCAGACAGCAGCCTGCTAAGTCAGACTGCGTGTGCTCACCCCGTGATGGCGGATGGTCGCAGCCTGATCAAGGCGGCGATCACGCCGGCAGAGCAGCGCGCGCGGGTCCGCGCACTGGCCATGCGGGATGCGGCGAAGTCCTCGTGGAGTCAGATGATGTCTGCGCTGTGGCCTAACCGTGACAGGAGCCAGGACGGCGGCGACCTGGCCATATTAGCGTGCTTTGTTCCCATTGCCATTGGCATGTTTGCGGGCCACGTGCAGCTTTTTCAAGGGAAGGAGGCCTGAACGTAAATCCGTTTCCTGGCTGAGCCCCGCAAGCTCCCACAAATTCGAACAAGTCGTAGTTTGATGATCAGGGCATCCAATGGGGTTCACTGGCGCGCGAGGTGTAATGATTTTGCATGGCCAGCGACGCCACGCGTGTGTGCTTATGCCCAGATTGTAGCTAAACCACTGGAGTTCGGCAGATTGTAGGGGTCTCCTAAAACACCCAGAAATTTTCCCGGAGTTTGAAGGCCCAGAGTCTTGCCATTGCGTGACCGAGACCCTCCGAAGCTGCCGAAGCTGCCAGAGGAGGAGTCGCCGTACGAGCAGTGGCTGGATGGGGCGTGCGATGAGCCAGAAGCCATGGCGCCCTGTCTGAATCGGGGGATTTGCTAGTTTGCTTGCCTCCGTGTGGCGCAACGCCACGCTGCCCTCTGAGGTGTTCCTGCGTGTGACCGCTCTGGCGCCAGACCTGGCGTGGTGCCTGGGGAGGTGCCGCGTGGACATGCCGTCCTGGGTCGCGCCTTGGACTCGCAGCACGATCGATGCGGTTTGGTGTCCTTTTAAAACCAACTTGAAAGAAAGGATGCCCTTATAAGCCTTAAAACACACCCCATTTGGGGAAGCCCAACTCTGTACACCAAAGCTAGGGGATTTCCCACGATTCTGCTTTTCATATTCCCTCCAAAGCAAAACCTCATTTTGGAGGAGATGCCTGTTAGGAGCCCAGCGCCTCATTGGTCTTAACACATGGGTGTTTTTATTTTAGGCCCCCCCCCCCCAAAAAAAAAGAGAGAAGGGGCAAGTAGCTCCATTGGATCGTGAGACATCGCCACGTGCTTTTTGCTGAGATGGTGGCTAGCGTGCTGCAACACCCATCGCCGAATGGCCGGGCGTATGGCCATGAGCTCGTGGGCAAGCTCGTCAGAAGCTGGCTCGCATCAGCTTTTTCGGGTGGCGATCTGCTGGCTTTCTGCCTGTTCTGTCTCATTCTGAAGCTTCTCAGTTGTGGAGTTGGCAGAGTGTCAACTTATTTGATCCCAGATCTTCCACTGCACCAGCCATGTAGCTTGCTTTTTGGTTGGAGTCGGTTTTCTCGCTCTTGCTTCACTGAATCTGACAGATCACACCACGCATCACCCGCTGTGTGAGGACAGCTGCTGGAGTACCGCAAGAGCCACCGGTACGAGAACGTCAGCCACTTCATCGGGTCCTGGCACACCGAGAAGACGTACCTGCTGCAGGAGCAGACGCCCCAGGTTTGGGACGCACGTCAGACGCCCCCTGCCAAGCATTGATCTGAGGCATGTCTATGTGAGATGTTGGTCGCTTCAATGGCTGGCAGACCCCTCAAACAAAGGATCAAATTGAGATCGCTTGACCCCCAAACAAACAGGCCGATCCTTTCTACTTACAAAGGCGGGCCACGCTGGTGTGCCACATTCACATACTCACCCCAGTCGACTGCTGCCCCCCGAAATTCCACCGAGGGTACTTGAGCTCAAACAAAATCAAACTCCAGGCGGGCGTGTCCTACGCATAGGTTTCCTATTCAGGTGATGACTTGCTCAAGAAAATGTTCTTTTGGCTTTCCATTAAACAAAAGCAAACCCATTCAGAATTCAGAGTCCGTGTCCATGTCACTTTAGTGGACCCAGGAAAAGGCGCCCTCCATGGCTCCGTCGCTTGCCTTTGGGGCCACGGGCCCCTCTAAATCCGACGGACCCAAAATGTTGTTTGGCCTGGGGCCTGGAAAGGGCTGGGTACAGAGTTCCCATGGTTTTCCTGAAGGGTCGCTGAAGTTCCTTAAAGCTGTGGGCCCACGGGTTGGTCCTAAAGATGGCCAGGGCGTGGCCGGCAACGCAGAGCGAGCCCAACGCCGGAACCAATTCTGGGTTGGGGATCTACTCTCTTTAATTCAGCGTGCCAGGGATTCGCCTTTCGCAACGCAAAGAAAATCACATTAGCCAGCTGTTCCGCCCGTGAAGTGTGTTTTTGGATAGCTTGGATAGCCATGGACACCTGCAAAGACACGGGGCCCCACGAGTTTCGAATTTGGGCACATTGGGAAAGGGGCGGTTTCGTTGCCCCTACCAAGGCAAGACGCATGGCAGGGACAAGGCTGGACATGGGCTGCGCGGCTCGGCGTGCGAGCAGACACCGTACCAAAATCTTAATTTGTTTGAAAGAGGTGACGCAAGGACGGCGCCCACCCAAAACCCGGGTGTGGGGGGCGCGGGGGGAGGAGGGTTCCAATTTTTTTCCCCGGCCCATTATCCAGCAAGGTAAACATGCCACGAAGTCGACGCTCAAAGTGCGCTTTTCAGCCACCTGTTGTTTCATCTTGAAGCGGGTTTGTCTCTAAATGGGCGAGGGGCCCTAATAATGGTTGGTTTCCACTTGAATGAGCGGTCTTCGAAAAACAGACTAGGAGAAGGGCAGCTGAGAATTCGGGCCATCCAAGGCAAGACGCATGGCAGGCACGAGACTGGACGTGGGCCGAGCGGCTTGGCGTGACACATGGGCAATGGGCATCATCCAACAAGGTAAACAGTAAACATGGTATGAGTTCGTCGGTGGTCCGTGCGTTTTGCAGCATTCATCTTC